ATCACAACTAGTTGAAAAAGCAGTAGAGGCCTTCAAAGGATACGACAGCACTATTCAAGCTTGGAGCGACTCCCAAGTGGTGATAGCTTGGTTGCAAGGAGACGTGTCAAGATGGGAGAGATACGTAGCTAACAGGGTCAATAAGATCAAACAAATCATTCCGGCTGCCAACTGGCAGTACGTAAAGTCTGAACAGAATCCTGCGGACTGCGCTTCCCGAGGGATGTATCCTACCAAATTACTTACCTTCGAGCTGTGGTGGAAAGGACCTGATTTCCTTCAAAATACACAAAAAGAGAAGGCTCAGAAAATTACTACGTGTCTCCTCACTACTAACACGGGGCTAAAAAATAAAGCGGCGACAACCCTACCGACAAACAACAATACACATTTTATAAATGAACTTGTACATAAATGCAGTTCATTGACACGCGTACAACGAGTCACCGCATGGATACAGCGCTTCGGTGCAATTGTCCGCAACAAAACGAAACCCGAAACCAACTTCCTTACTACAAGCGAAATGACCGCTGCAAATGAACAAATAATAAAATGTGTGCAACGCATTGAGTTTGAGCAAGAATACAAATTACTTGTAAAAAACGAAACTGTGCCGATCAAGAGCCCTATTTACAAACTAAACCTGTATCTGGATAATAAAGGGATTATACGTGTCGGTGGGCGCCTAAACAACTCCAGTTTGCCAGATGAAATGAAAAACCCTATCATTTTATCAAGGAATGGGCGACTAACTCAACTACTTATCGAGAAGGCCCACTGTACTACACTTCACGGTGGCGCTCGACTAACGTTAGCCTACATAAGACAACGTTACTGGATCGTCGGTGGCAACAGAGCGGTCAAAGCGAGACTACGTCATTACATCCGGTGCCACCGATACAAGCCGACTGAAACTTACCAACTCATGGGCGACCTGCCGCAGCAAAGAACTACTCCATCTCGACCTTTCACACATACTGGTGTTGACTTCACTGGCCATGTGGAGGTCAAGCTGAACAAAGGAAGAGGTGTTAAGACATCAAAGGGATACATCGCCATCTTCGTATGTATGGCAACTAAGGCTGTACATATCGAGCTCGTGTCTGACCTCAGCACTGAAACCTTCATCGCTGCCTTTCAACGTCTGTGCGCGCGGCGGGGCACGCCAAAGCACGTTTATTCAGACTGCGGCACTAACTTCATTGGCGCCGCCAAGTTACTTCGGAAAGAATTTGAACACTTCAAACAAATTCTTTCACCAGAGTTCTTCACAGAGATTGGGAAACTTGAAGTTGAATGGCACTTCAACGCTCCTGTGTGGCCGAACGCAGGTGGACTCTGGGAGGCTGCTGTAAAATCTCTGAAATACCATCTAAAACGCGTGCTAGGTGATCAAAAACTGACATATGAAGAGTTCTCAACACTGCTTACGAAAATCGAGGCCTGCATGAACTCGCGGCCGCTGTGTGCACTAACTGAGGACCCGGAAGAATTTTACAATTACTTAACACCCGGACACTTCCTCACTGGCGGCCCCGTGATGACATTACCCCTCTCTGATTACACTGACGTCAGACACGTCGACTTGCGGCGACGATGGCAGCTGACTGAAAACATGCTTCATCAATTTTGGAAAAGCTGGTCCAACGAGTATCTAACTCAGCTTCAGAGTCGCAGCAAGTGGAACAAGGCTACAAAAAACATCAAAGAAGACGACATTGTGCTAGTAAAGGAGAATAACTTACCTCCCGGAAAATGGGCCATGGGGCGTGTCATAGAGCTTCATCCCGGTTCCGATGGCCTTGTGCGAGTCACCACTATCAAGACTCAAACCGGGGTGATGAAACGCCCCATCGTGAAACTATCACCACTCCCGCTGGAAACTGACACTTCACATGAGATGAAAACTACGTCATCCAGCGAGCCACATCTTACCACATCGTCAACTGCACAACAACGTACGATCAGAAAGAAAGCTGCAAATAATTTTTTTACAACATTGTTTACAATATCAATTACAATGTTTACACTGATAACGGCAGCACGTGGCATGAATGACGGCGGCGGCGTAACATTGAGCGCTCATATTACATACTTAGAAACGAACAGACCGATTTATTATGATTATAATAATAATAAATAATAATAATAATAATGTATTTATTTCACAAACTTATAGGCTAATTTGACAATGACATTGTTGAAATTCCAGCGATGCATTTAGGACAAGACATCTGTGTCTGAACTAGATAATTAATTATCTGTATTTCAGACATCAGCGCTCTTCCGTGATTACAGAAACATGTAACAGACATCCAGTAATACATTGTCGTCTTAAATCCTAAGAATTTTTGCTTTGAAATTAAAAGTACTTAATTTTATCATAATTTAGATGTGATGGAGACCTCCCTGTGAGTAAAATGGCTACGAATGTGTGTGTGTGTGTGTGTGGGAGGATGTGTGGGTTAAAGGGGAGACTACTGTGAAGAATTGACTAGGTTCTCGGTTTCATCATAGGTCAGTTTATGGATATACTCCGCTACTCTATGTCTACATTCTATCTTGTTTATTGTATGTATATCGATTATTTTATTAATTTTATTGTATAGATGTGGACCTAAAAAGCAAAAATGAGTATTAACATAATTATGTTTAAATTGTGGTATGTCGTTATAGGATATAGCTTTACGACGCCTGGACAATTTGGAATGTTGTTTAATTTTTAAATTCTTCTTTTGTCTAATAATTGTTAGCAAAATAAAAAGTTGACGCACCGACAGGACTTCACATGTCTGATATAGTACGTGTGTAGGGAACAAATATGGTTGAAAAGTGCTAATTTTGAGAATAGCTCTTTGTGCTATTTCTAGGGGTTTTATAATAGTCTTTGAAGCGCCACCCCAGACCGTAATGCAATATCCCAATATTGACTGAACAAGTGCCAGATATAACTGTTTAATTAGTTTGGCGCCTGCAACATGCCTGAGATTTTTAAACATCAACTTTCTTAATCTTGAAGTAAGCAGCTGTATGTGAGGTTGGAAGGAAAGGTTGTTGTCTATAATTATGCCAAGATATTTCAAGGTTTGTGTTTCAGCCAAACATGGACAGTCACAAACTAGATCATTGCAGCAGTTATGTGCAATTAAGGAAAGTGGCTCAGACGGCGAAGGGGTACTGCGCATAGTAAACCTTATGTAGTATGTTTTATCCGCGTTTAGCGTCAAGATATTGTTCCTCAGCCAGTGATTGACTGTATCAAAGCCGCGTTGAGCGTGTCTAAGAGCTTCTTCCCACGTATCTGCCGAGAACAATAATACAGTATCATCTGCATATGAGATTATTTTTCCGCAAGTCAACTTTAGGTCACAGAGATCGTTTAAATACACGAGGAAGAGGCTAGGGCCCAGGATACTGCCTTGAGGCACGCCATATGTGACTGGAAGGTCACCACTCACCAAGTTATCTATTTTTACACTTTGATAACGCTTTGAAAGGTAATCCTGAAACAACTTTAATTGTTTGTCTCTAATCCCCAATTTCTCAAGTTTTCCAAGAAGCAAAGGCACTGGGACCGTGTCAAAGGCCTTGGAAAGATCTAAAAATATACCAATTGTTTTCTTCCCTTTGTCAATACTCTCAACTACGTAGTCAACAAGTTCATGTACTGCCTCGCAAGTAGACTTTCCGACCCTAAAACCAAACTGATTACATGAAAAATAGTTATTAGTTTCCATATATTTAACCAGTCTATTATTTATGATACGCTCCAATAGCTTGGAGACAGACGGGAGTATGGATATCGGTCTGTAGTTTGTGATTAGGCAGCGGTCACCTGATTTATAAATAGGAAGTACTATAGACTTTTTAAGTGCTGTAGGAAAAATCCCATCACTCAAACATAAATTAAAGATATGTGTCAATACCGGAACGAGCAGACGTCTATTTTCCTTAAGAAGGTGGTTAGGTATTCCGTCCCATCCAACCGTGCAAACATTCTTTAATCCCAAAATCGTACTTTCGACTTCTGATTCGTCAGTGTTCAATAACACAAACGAGTTTAGTGTCGTGTTCGGCTGAGTATGAGAGATATATTTGTGCAAGGGATTGTCACATTTTTCGATTTTATTCGCCAACGTTTCGCCAATGGAGACATAAAACTCATTGACGTTTTCAATCGATTTCACAGGTTCTGTTGTATTTATTAGTTCTGTTGCGGAGGATTTCTTTTTAGATGTGTTAGTAATATTTTTAATCACTTCCCATATTTTTTTATTATTGTTACCAGCGTTCTCTAATAAAGTTTTTTCATAGTTTCTTTTAATTTTTTAAATTAAATTATTGCAAAAATTTCTGTATCTAGTGTACGTTAGCTTGAGAGTTTCATTTTCTGGAGACTGTCGAATCTTTTTATGAAGATTATCCCTATGTCTCATGCAGCGCAATAGGCCAGGTGTTATCCATGGCTTAATGATTTTGTTACGACTTGACAACTTTATGACAACAGAGTCATTTATTATGGCACGTTGAATTGATTTGATAAAATAATTCATAGCTCTGTCTGGATCACTTGAATTATAGATGGGTTCCCAGTTGATTTTAGCTAGACTTTCATTAAGTCCTTCTTTGTTTATTTTACTAAATGATACATGGGCGTAGCTTCTGTTATTTTTACTTTTAAGACACAACATTACCGCTTGATGATCAGTGATGGTTGATTGTATTACTAAGGTAAGCGCTGGTAATTTTGTCTTTAATATAATGTGATCAATACACGTCTTTCCAAGCCTCGTAGGGAGAACGTGTGCAGGTAAGAGGCCATGATAAGAGCACAGGTTCAGATACTCAGTTTGTGAGTGAGAAGGTTGATCTGGGCATATGTTTATATTAATATCTCCCACTATGCACACGTTTTTACAAGACGACAGCTCAGTTAATATGATATTTAAAGTTTGAAGGAAAGTATCGATTTTTTTATAAGAAGGTGGTCTATATAAGGCTAATATAGCAGTATCCGTGCCAATCTTTATAATAAGACAATTACAATGTTCAGTATTCGGTTCATAAACAACTGTTCTCAAAACACTCTTTAATGTATACTGTTACACCATCGTTCTGATTGACACATTTTTTTGACGAAAATTGATTGTATCCATCCAATAATGGTATTGTAGGGCAGCATGATAGCCAGCACTCTGTTAAGACAATTATATCACATTCAAATCGAAGCCCACCCAACAACACACGCAGGCTATCAAAATTTCGTGATATACTACGTATATTTTGAGTTATGACTGTCAGCGAATCTGAAGGATTGATTAAGAATTTGTTACAGTCCTCCACATCACAAGCCATGGATTCCGATACAGCTATTCTATCTATATCAGATGCTACGTCATCCATTAAGGAAAAACATGTAGATCATATGATCATTTAGATTGAAATCAGATAAATTTTTATAATAATCAGTCGTGACACGGTTACTCTCAATTAATTTGAAACAAAGTGTGAGAGATTTTCTTTTAAATAATACACTTGTCAATGGCAGGAGAGATAATTGTTCATATTTACGGGTAGTTAATAGAAACCGGTGTTTTATAAAGCTTTGTGTGGAGTGTAGAATTTGAAATTTTGTTACAAAAAACATTATAATAAAGAGAAAAATCTGAGAAAAATGCAATGAAAAATGAGATTTCGGTGCTAGTCACATAGTGTTACTCTTTAGCTTTGCGAAGTCTGCTTCTTCTTCAATGCGAATATGTGGCATTCCTTCTTTTTGGCGTAGGTAAATTTTCCCATAGGAAGTCCAGCAGTAGGTGTAGCTATGTGAATTTGCGAAATCCCTGGCGAGAAAAAATAAGCGCCTGCCCTTTGGTGTGAGGCATTCCGAGATGTAGATAGGTTTTTGTGGAGTTTCGCCAAATATGCCTGAGTTTAATTTGGTAGATTTTTCTTGGGTACTAAGTTTTTTTAGACTTTTTAGGAAATTTTCTTTGGTGAGAACAGACGTAAAATCTACCACAATTGGTTTAACTGGGGCGCCAGGCTTTGCAAAAGGACGGTATACATCTTTTATATCCGCAGATTGTAAATGTATATTTAACGAATTACCGATCTTTTTTATTGCATTGCAGAGGTCATCCTTACTCTCAGTTTTTAATTTAGGTACGTTTCTGATCTCCAACGTGTGTACGTTTGTTTTTCAAAATTTTCTATCTTATTTTCCAATAGCTTTATGTATGTGTTGTTTTCTTTACGTTCTCGTCTCAGATATTCTATTTCTTTTTGCAATTCGTCGTATTTGGCAGACAGAGTAGAGATAGACTGATTTATTTCGCTACTTTGGTCCTTAATCTCTGCAAGGGATAATTCTAAACTTTCCATTTTTCGGTTTTGATCATCTGCAAAATTGCGAAACATATCGCGCATCTCCACCATGAAGCTACTCAGTTCGTTTTCTCGTTTTTTCATCATACGCCCCGTGTTCACATTGCTATGGTGACCAGCATTTGTTATATCAGATGTGGTGCCTTCGACGCTCCCAGTATCCGTCTCAGAAAGAAACGGTTTCTTTGAAGGAGTGCGTTTTAGAGGCATTATATTTTAAAAGTTGCAAAAAGGTACCAGGAGGATAGCGCAGCGGAAAGGTAATTAAGAAGTGTGAGGCGCAACTCTTGTTGCTAGGTGGCGCTAATTTGTCGATTGTCAATTACAAACCAGGGATGTTATTTGCCGCCTGGTGGCGTAGATTTGTCGATTATACCTCTTCAACTTTATTTCAGATATAACACTTATCGCGTAGAACAACGAAAAAATAAAATACCAACAAAAAACAGGAAGAAGGAAAAAAAAAAAAAAAAAAGTTTCTTTTAGACACTTATGGATTTGAACCCCGGACCGATTTCACCGGTCACCGCGCAGTCCAACCAACTACCGTTGCACTACCGTAACTATATGTGACACTGCGAAATTGAGAGTTAGGTTGCGGTAAGCTATGGTCGTTGAACCTGTTTGAGAGCAATGCACCGTGAAGGTCGTCCATTCACTAATTGCCGACACTGTTCAAACTAAAACGTTTAATTTTTGTTTTGTTAGTCACTTTGCACTATTTATAAATTATAAAATTGATTCATGTAATACGTAGTCTTTTTGATCTTCTGTTAATGAATAAATTGATACTAATTTTATTTTATTTTATTTAAACACTTTATTGTACCACAAAGTAACTTACAAATTTTCAGAAA